GATAATTCCAACTATTGATATTTGTAATTTTTTGGATTTTAAAGGGACAGATGGAGCAATACCCTGTATGTACATGCTAGTTGGTGTATTTATTTTTGGAAAATTCACAGGTTCAAAAATAGCCAAACTGGCACAGAAGAGGTTAAACACTCTTTGGTCGCAGCAAATGTGCATGAATTATTCTCTGCCTGTGAATGACAAAAAGGGAGGATTTGGTACCGTAGAGATCATTATTGAGTACTAATACAGAACTCGTTGGCAAAACGCTCCGTCATTTAAGCGATATAGACAATGAAGGTTCTCAAACCCTGCTACAGCGTGTGACCTACAGCATCCTGTACAATGAATAATTAGAGCTAATATCCATTTCAGCTTCTGTTAGAACATCCAATAAAACAAGGTCAAGACAACAGGCAGGAATCACATCCCTGCTAGCATCACGATGGAGAGGAAGTCACCCTCTAGGAGGTGTATTGCATCTCTCTTTTTTTCCACAATGAATTAGCACTGACAGCCCCCTGGAGAGCAGTATACTGCTTCCTACTGTTTAGCTGACTGCAAGATCACTTACAAGTTCTTAGGCTCTCTGGAACGATCCGATCCTTAATAATGATTCCAAATCGGAGATCAGGCCTGGAGGGTCGCGCATTGACCATTTTTGTTTTCATGATATAAAGAAAGATCTTTATACAAAGTTTAATTTAAATAATTGATCATTTGGGCTATTCTAATCAATGGCACAATGACAAACATTCGTGGAGACGATAACTAAGAAACGATAGGGCATTTGCAATTCTGTCACAATTTCCAATATAATGAATAGCTGTGTGAGTGTGTTTCACTGAGCCATAGGCCAGAAGTTTGGCCATTTAAATCAGACACTTGTTAAATCCAACATGCAAAAGAGTGTCACCCTGTGCAAAAAAAAAAAATATACTCAAAATCAAATGGATGGCTTCACAGGGACTTTTACCTCAGTCCCATATACAAAGCAGACAAAGAAAAAAAGAAAAAAAAGAAAATAGAGATCCAGTTAATCATAACAGAACACAAGATAACACATCATTTAGACTGTAAGCTCGTTTGAGCAGGGCCCTCTTCAACCTATTGTTCTTGTAATTGTCCTAGTTATAGTTAAATCCCCCCTCTCATAATATTGTAAAGCGCTACGGAATCTGTTGGCGCTATATAAATGGCAATAATAATAATAATAATAGTGAAACACAAAAAAACTAAAAAAAAACTAAATGTAGGTTTAATTAGATTATTGCACTATATGTGTTATTTTGTATTCTTTGAGGATTGGCTGTATCTCTGTTTCTTTATGTTTTGTCTACTTGTTAAATCAACACAGCGTTGACAGAGAGGCTAAATTGTGGGTACTGCTGGAAGGCATGAGCCCTAAGCTGCTGAAAAAGTGTGTGTTATTTATCACCTGCCTATCTCGAGTTAGACTTTTTAGGGATCCTTCTTGGATACAGAAACTCAAAAAATCATATTTCCACAACTGTCCCAGAGTTCCCAGCTTGACATGCAAATTAGAACAACCAGGCATTGTGTTCCAGCCTTCTGCCTACACTAACGGGTTAAACATGTCTTCTTCTTCTTTTTTTTTTTTTATCAAAGCTTGGGTCATGATCCTAAAGGCTCACATATAGAAACTCTGAATATTCTAAGTGGTATCCTGAAAACACAAGATGCGCGTAGAACATGTGGAGGTTCTACACCCAAAGACTGATTAGTCACAAGCCATTTGACCAATATTGTGTAGGTCTCACTCGTGCAGATAAAACAGCTCTGATGCATTGTGACATGGAGTCCATGAGACCTCTGCAGGGCCGGACTGGGGATACAAAGCAGCCCTGGAAAAAAAATTTGTGCCAGCCCCATAAGTCACGGCGCCATATATTGTCGCGTGTAATATGTAAGGCTATGTCTTGCCAGGACAGATGATTGAGTAATTATATATATATATATATATATATGCTTTTTCTAATATAAAATATTGGTCCTTTCAGGGTAAAACGTTTAATTATACAGTAAGCATACGCACATGCAGACACAGGCAATTTCACTGACATTTCAGTGACACACACAAGCTCATTGATACACAGCCTCATAGACAAACAATCTTACTGATATACATCAGCTCATTGACATAAAAACACAAGCTCACTCACTAGCAGGCACACGCATGCAAGCAAGCTCACTCACTAGCAGACGCACACACACAGCTTAATGTGGTGGTACTGGTGTCTATAGCATGTCCCTACAGGCTTTTCAACGTAAACACTGACTTTTCAGACAAAAGGCAGTGTTTACATTGCTTCAAAGTGACACTGCTAGTGACAGTCACTCAGACGGTCACTAGAGGTGCTTCCTGTGTTAGTGCCCTCCCGCCCTCGCGCGCTGCTGAATGAGACTGGCGCCGGAATATGACGTCATATTCCGGCGCCGGTCTCATTCAGCTGCGTGCTGGGGAGCAGAGCCAGCGCAGCTCGCGCAGCTCCCTCAGCGGCCGCCAGGACAAGTCCGCCAGCGGCCGCCAAAAGACCTCCCCAGCGGCCAGGGGAGGGCTGGCAGCCTTAGGCCTGGGGGGCAAAACCAGTCAAGTAGACTGGTGCACCTGCCCAGGATCAGAGAAGGTGCAAGGATGTTTGCCGCCCTAGACAAAATAAAAATTTGCTGCCCCCACATGTCACATCACAATGCCCCACCCATATGATCTGCCATATGAACTAACGCCAGTGCTGCACACAGTGTGTGTTTACATTAAAAAGCCTGCAGGGACCAGCTATAGACACCAGAACCACTTCATTAAGCTATAGTGTCCCTTTAATGTGAGGTAAATTATAGATTAGTGTCACTAATAATATACTAGATTGCCTACTTACAAGCAGATGAGGATGATGATGGGCTGCAGTTTGGCTCCACTGGTCTGAGTAGAACAGGATCTCTGGAGGCTGTTTGCAACTGTGGTCACAAAATTCAATGTTCTGGGAGAATTGGAAGCAGCTCAATTTTTTGGGGGCGCCTTACACAGCTCAAGGTCTGGGCCCCAGGGCCTGACGGTGAGTATGCCCACAAGGCCCACTCATAAGTTCCACCCACCCATGAGTTCGCTCACAGGGAGTGGAGTGTGTAGGGGATGTGTTATGTGTTATTGTAGAGGATCTAATATGTGTGCTTATGGTATGTAGTGTTTAGGGTTACCAGTTTGTGCAGGTGATGCAGTGTGTTTGTGTGTAGTGGAAGCAGTGTGTATTTGTGTATAAGGGATGTATTATGTGTTTCTGGTTGTGTGTAAGGGATGCATTGTGTGAATCTGTGTTTGTATGCATAAGGGATGCAAGGTGTGTGTCTGTATGTGTGTGCATTGAGTGTAAGAGATGCATTGTGTTTCTGTGTGTATGTAAGAAAAGAAGTGTGTGTGTTTGCATGCGTGTGTACGGGTTTGCATTGTCTGTTTCTGTGTATGTGTGCAAAGGATGCATTGTCTTTGTGTGTAAGGGTTGCATTGTGTGTGTGTGTGTAATGGATGCATTGTGTGTTTCTCTGTGTGTAAGGGAAGCATGTTGTGTTTCTGTGTATGTATAGGGATGCATTGTGTGTGTGTGTGTGCGCGCGTAGTGTGAAAGAGCTCCCTGTCTTGGCCCCTGTCCTATAGAGCTGCCCCTTCTTCTTATTCCCCTCCCTCCTCTCTTCTTATTCCCCCCCTATCTTATTCCCTCCCTCCCCTCATCTTATTCCCCTCCTCCCCTCTTTTTATTTCCCCCTCTTCTTATCCCTCCCTCCCCTCTTCTTATTCCCCCCTCCCGTCATCTTATTCCC